CATTGGAGGGAGTGCCGACCCCACCGACCCTCCCTCCAATGATGTAGCGCCATGGACACCCCGATATTAGTGGTGATGTATCACTAGCATCTCTCTAAACTTATAGCGTTAGTTTGGCCTCTATTTTTGGAAGCGCGATTTTTTTTTTGGAGAATATATGGTTAAAATGGAGGAAAAATTTTGTTTTTAAGCCCCGTTTGGTATACATAATTTTGTTTTTAAGCCCCGTTTGGTATACATTCTTTTAAAACTCATTTTCTACCACACATTTTTCAATAAAATAATATATTTTTTAATCACGTCAATAATTTTTTCTTACTTTTTAACCACATATTTCTCATCATATCATTATTCAAAATACATTCTTTCCTCAATTATATCCATCAAACACACCTTAAGTGTAAAATTATTTTACTGTGTAGCTAAGAAAAGAAAAATTTTTAAAAATTAGAGAATGGAGTTCAAAAAGGGGCTAATTAATTTAAAAACTTAATTTGTCATTCAGAAATTGCAAACCTTCAACTAGGTTATATCTTGTCCGATGGAAGAATAGAGAGTAAATTAACTTGCAAAAATTCAGTGTGCAGAAATACAGAAAATATTTAAACGGTTAATCCATGCAAACCTTAGGTAAACTTTCGCAAGTTTAGACACACAATCTTGCATGTTTGGCAAAGCTTAAAAAAAAAAAAAGGTACTTTTAAGAACCTTATTTTTGTTTGATAAAAAAGAAACAACTTAATTAAAAGTAACTTTTAAGCTTAGTGAAGTATAAATGCTTCATTTTGTTAAGTTGCTGTTAGATTCTTGAAAATGTGTTAACATGGAGAAAATGAAGATTTTTCTTGGATAATATAGAGATAAAATAAAATTTTGATGTTCCAAACTATACTTAAAGCCATGTCTGTCAATAAAGAGAGAGATTTAGACGTGACAATTTAATGAAAATTTGGACGAATTTTGATATTAAGGATGTATGCATCTGTAACGAAAGATTGGGGATTAACTACGGTTAATTGTTTTTTTTTTTTTAATCCACTTGCTATTGAAGCAATGGATTGAAAGCTAATAGTGCAAATTTGCCAATCAATAACAAACACTCTAAATTACGGCACAAGCTATCTTTATTTTATTTATCTTCGCTACTATTAATTTTATTTGAAGAGTGAATAATTGGTATAGCTAAAAGTCGAAAACTTCATGAAAGAACATGTATAAATTGTGACCTTCAATAAACGACACGAAAAATAGCACCAACAACTAATCGATATCGTTTAATTTTATCATTAATATTTTTGTGTAGATAATATTCAGTCAAATAAAACCAATAACGGAGCAACAATTGTTGGGGATGTATGGATTGCAGCAATTGACACGGAAGGCTGAAGAAGCCCTCTCTCAAGGGCTGGAATCATTGAATCAATCACTTTTGAAACACCATTACCTTGGATTCATTGAATGTCTCATCAGACATGAATAGTTTCATGGGACAAATGGCTTTAGTCATCAACGAACTCTCTACCTTTGAATGTTTTGTTAGACAGGCATGTATGCCTTTTCATTTAGCCATGTCTTTATATGTATAATAAAATCACGTATTTAGCAAGGTTTATGGTGTGGTCGTATATGAGTTTTAAAAAAAAATCTTTGAAATATACGTAGGACAAAATACTAATCCTTCGACATGCTCATTGTGTGAAAGTTTGATTTTATTTTATTAAAAGCAATATCCTAAAACGGCTTTTATAAATAAAAACAACGAGATATCAACTCATGACCATTAACCACTCTAATGCTATGTTGATATTACCCCATTTAAAAGTTTAAGTCATCAAGGATGGAACATAGTACTTAATTCAAATTTTTATATTTTAACTAGAATACTAAATATATTTAAGTAAATTAGTAAGTTCATGCCAAATTCAACTGAATAAGAGAGTTTAACTTAAAAATAACTTTAAAAGATGACATTTTGCCAAATAAATAACTTTAAAGTAAGTTCGACTTAAATTTAAGTACAACCAAACACACTAACGTGCTATGTCCATAGTAGATCATTGATTGTTTAATCCTTTAAATTCAACGTACATGCATAGTGATTATCGTTTGTTTTATATACATATTTTGACATATGAAATTAATTAATTAGAATATAATGAATATTGACTTACAGGCTAATAATCTGAGGCACCAAATCCTTCATCAAAAATAAAAAATTCTCCTAGCGACTATATTTACAGGTAGGCATCGTGTTGTTCGAATTTCCTGCTCGTTTGTCTACTGGTAATACCTCTTGAGGTGCACAGCGTTCCATGTCTTGCCTAGTGGTTTTCCTTTCAAGTCTTTCAGGCTGTAAGCTCCCTTTCCAAGGTTTCGGATCACCTCATACGGTCCTTCCCAATTCGGTCCAAACTTAGATGGAGGGTATCCCGCTGCTGCTGCTTCCCTAAGTACGAGGTCTCCTAACTGGAAAACTCTTAGTTTTACCTTACGATTGAAGTACCCAGCGGCCCTCCGCTTGTAAGCAGCCATTCTCATAGTCAAACAATAATTTAGGATATGAAAATGAGTACTTAAAATATGCAAAGGATATAAATAATGTGAAAGAAAAAATAAATTATTTCTTAGAAAATATATACTTAGGATGTAGGTACACTAAATTCAACAAAAAATGGTTTCATTATATAGTTTTCTTNNNAATGGTTTCATTATATAGTTTTCTTAGATCCTTTTCTCTCCCCCCAAATCCTTTTCTCCCTAAACCCTAGTTTCGCCGGATTTTCTACCGGCGAGTGGCCTTGTGCCACTCGTCCGGTTTTCTCTTGGCTCCTCGGAGGCCAAGTTTTCTCTCCCCGCCTCTGGCGGTGGAGTTTCTTCCCTCCCCGGCTTCGGATATGATGCCTTTTTTCCTTGTTTTTGTCACCGCGAATAAAAAATGTTTTGCCTTGTAAAAACTCTGTGAATCCCACAATGTACACATAGTAAAGCTCTACACAATGTATATCTCAATTTTAAAACGTCGGCAATATGTTACCATATATAGTTAACTAAAGTGAGAACTAATTATTTTTT